TATGACATAATTATTATTATAGTTTGACTGTTACAATTTGCTACCATCATCGTTATTCGTGCTATTGTGGAATCTGTGATGTACAATTTATGTAATTTACAAGGCTAAAGAGCCAATCACATTTAATTATATTTTAAATAGGGCCTATTTAACTAATCATTGTGTTCTGTTAGCTTTCTGATTAAAAAAAAATTGTCGGGTCAACATGACGTTATACATTAATTGAATAATGAATGGATAAGGTAGTAGACTGTTTTGATGGTGTCAGTTCGTTGATTGTTTTACCGACAGACAACTGACCAATAGTATGAATGGGTATCTGGTGGGGTTGCTTGCTCATGCGCTGATTACAGCATCAACGTGTCAAGTCAATAACCTGGGAAAAGTGCTTTATAATTATATGCAGTATATAAATAAACAAAATATACTTTAAAACTATTATTTTGCAAACATGTCGTTTCGCTGAAGGACATTTGATCATTAAATTTACGACGATAAATTCACTGATAATGTCCTTTCACCGACAGACTAAATTAAGCAGAACGTTTCGCCGATTAGGGTGACTACATATTTCAAAGTGATCGGCGGAACCCGGGAATTTGGAAAATTTGTACTTACAACTTGGACGAAAATTTTGTAAAAAAAATAATAAAATTAAAAAAAAATCACAAACCATATTTAGGTAGGTAAGAGGCATGACATTTGCAATGTATTGACATACAACAATGATAACGGTGGCTATTCGGGAGTGTAAACCGGGCTACTGAATCGGAAAACATTAGTAGTACGACACAAGTCACAATTGGCTGGAGTCGTTACCGGAGCCCGGTTGGTGCATTTATACCTCCATGGTTGGTGGGACGATTTCAATTAAAGTGGTTTAGTAATATAAAGAAAGTTCAGTTTAATTTTTTAAAGAAATTTGTTATATATGTATAATGTACAAAACATTTCTGTTTTATTAAATGAAACACAGCTAATACAACACTAACTGAAAAACTAATAATTTATTTAAGTAATTTTATAAAATTTAATTCTTCAAAAATCGTATTATTTATGTAACATAATATGCCTAGTTTACCAAATCAAACACTCCTGAAAACTTTTATTTGGCATTGTTATTGAGTGTTTTATTGATTCTTTTTGTTTACGTAATGTTTAAGTTACACGTACTTCAAATGCCTATTGTACCGTATCTGTTAACATTTTCCATACCTGAATGATTGTACTTTTGTACTCCGTATAGAAATAAAAATTGTCATTGCCATTGTCATTGTCATTGTTAATACAACATTAACTGAAAAAATATACCCTTCAGATTCTGAAACAAAGAGGTTTATTTCAATTAAATCTTACACATGCACGGATCCATATGGAGAGGAAGCTCAGTGTTTTTGTTTTCGATTTTCATTCATATTATGCCTCACAAAAAAAAATCAGACCGAGTTATGACGTCAAAACTACTGCCACTTACGACCGCTACGCCTATGTGGGTGTATGTGTGTGTGTGTGTGTGTGGGTGGGTGGGGTGTGTGTGTGTGTGTGTGCGCGCACACTGAACTTTTAAACTTGGATCGTCAAAAAGCCGGGCACACACACGACTGTCTTCAAGTCATGATTGCAATTAGACGAGCGTGCGCAATAAATCATTCTTTAATCAACAAAAATGTACAGGTGGTACCAGTAATTAGCTTTTAAGACAATTTTATGACAAGTTATATGACAAACGACGATTATACAATCAATCAGTATAAGATACGTTTCCTGATGTGTATTGTCACTTTTTTTCTAAACAGGTAAGATATATTTTAGCTGTTCTTTTAGTTTAGATTTGTTGATTTAGGACTGTCATAGGATTTTGAAATAGTCTTATTTTATTTTAAGGGGTAAATAAATGTTATAGTAGCGTGTGCCATTGCGCAGATCCAATCTTGATCATAATCATAGTTATAATGATGCATATGCCTATAGTTTGTCAACACAAATAATGATAAAATGTTGCTAGTATGTTTAAATAATTACTTTTCAACGTTTTATATGTGTGTACTTGTGTACTTATATAGCCTTCTATTCGAAGCCAACAGCATTGGCTATCCAAGACGTCAAAAGGGGATTTAATTACTATATACAGTATTATAATTAGAGTATAATAATCATCAACGCTCTAAGAATATTAATAACTAGACCTATGTACATTTTAATTTATTAAAGGTAGGTAGAAAAGCTGGTACTCAGCTGTATGAATGGGTGCCAGCAAATTGCTGGGAGTAACCTGGTGGACCAGCGTCCTGCCCAGGGTGAGCATCACACTCACCGCTTCACGCTACTTAGAACTGGGTACAATCTCAATCCCATGACTCATGAGCACCGTGGCTCAGCGAAGATTTATTTTTTTACATCACATGCAATTCAGTCATGATCAAATATGTTATGCCTAAATTTAATTTAGAAATACAGAGAGTATACATTTTATTAGTGACATCAAAATTGAAGTAACAAAACATGTAATAATATAAAATCACACTAGATTATTATTCATAAGTATGCAAGTTTTCCTATCCGACGAGCAGTTTCAAATCTTTTAATCTATGATAGGTATTAATTCTCCTTATTATAAGGGTCGGTCTACCTGTACACCGTACTGCTTTTGAACACAAGTTAATCTTATATAAACTATGATATTATAGGCCAACTATTATCATTTACAATAAGTTATTAGATATACAGACCTGGTGAATTTTGTCACATTTCTTTTAACAGGTAAGATATTTATAAGATTTCATCGATTTTCATTCATTAAAATTTTGAACAATTTCCTTTTAATAAAACCAAGGTGCCTACATTTTTGGTGTAAACATTTTAGCTAACTACGAATTATGGCTTGGAGTTCGCTACATCTGTCAGTCCAGTTCTTTCTGGCACCACTGACGGATGTAGATTGCGCCTCACCCCTTCTATACTTGTGGTTTCAAAAGAAGGTTATTATAGGAAGCAAGTAGCAACAACCAAGCCACAATCGGTCTGACGCTGCTCGCTGGTAGTTAGCGAAACTGCTTACACCAAAAAAGCATGGAGGAATAATATAATATATAAATATATATAATAATTATAAATAATAATTATTTCCTCCATGAAAAAAGTACGGTATTGTTTAGCCGTTCTGGTTACTTTAGTGTTGCCAAATATTGTGGGGCGCAGTTGATGATGTGTTTCTATTGCAAAAAAAGGTTCTTATTAACAATAATAAATCCATTGCTGTTCATATTATATCTTGCATTTTATAGTGAACATAAAATACTAAAACAGCTACAACAGTGTTTGATATTTGGCTTGATCATGTTCTTCAGACTTGTTTGTGAGTAGCCCCTATGTCAACACAAGTCAATTCGAAGACCACATGTCATCGTTACATTTTTATTTTCTTATGTTTGCATAAACCTTCTATTCATGTAACAACGATGTTTATACTAAATATAATCACACCCGGAAATTGTCGACATTGACGCTTTTAATAAGATCAATTATTACTGTTTTTGTTTTTTGTTTTGTTATTTTTTTTTTTCAGATATAGGGACGGAGATATTTTTGGAGATGGCCTTTATTGTTATGAACTGTTCTGCGGACACAATGGAAGTGTTCGCTACCCCAACAGGGGCCACGTTGTTCTCAATTTACTTCGTCTTAATATGCATCTGCTCAATTGTGGAAAATGTTATCATCTTGACGGCAATAATTCGCGTAAAACGACTACACAAACGTCGGAATATCCTCATCTTCAACTTAGCTGTGACGGACTTAATGGCTGGCGTAATTTATCCTTGTAGTACTTTTTTAAACACAGTCTACATGGAAAGCATTGGCTTTATTATAGGTATTGTATCCGTCTTCACCATCCTCGCAATCGCCACCGAACGCTTCCTGAAGATTGTTGTATTCCCGAAGCGTAGCAACTCGTACATTGGCACTACACGTCAACTTGTGGGAGCATCGATTTTTGCATGGGTGATACCGTTGGTCATCATATTTCCTCTTTCATTATATGACGATACTCTACATATTGTTATTTCCCTTACTCTTGGACCACTGTGCATTTTTGTTGTGATGACTGCAATATCTGTACTCTACTTTGCAATATATATCAAAATACGCTCTCATGATAAACGAATGCAGACTAATTTAAACCGAACCGAAAACTATAGTCTCACTAAGCTTGTTCTAAAGGCATATGTTGTCATAGTCGTAGTGTACGCTATTTGTTGGTTGCCTTGGGCGATAGAATCTTTCAGAATTATATACACAACTTATTATGATATCATTGACGAAAAAAGTCATTGTATTGCCTCAACTTTGGCTTTCTTTATCGGTGTTGCTATGGTATTGCTAAATTCCGCCGTAAACCCGATTATTTATTGGCTTAGGTTACCGGATTTCAGGAAAGGGATTCCGGAATTGTTTGGTTGTTGTAAAACAAAAAATACTTAAAGCGTACACAATTCTAGTTCTCAAAATACAACCTCTGTTGGCCATATTACCCATACAGACGATTTAAACTTAACTCAACAAGATCGTAAATAGTGTAACAACATGTGCTAGGTAATGATATTTGATACATCTTTACAAAAAATGTATTATATAAAATAGTGATGCCTATATATACGGTATAGACATTTTAAACATTTTTTATAATAATTTGTAACAATGATTAAAAATAATTATGTTTAATTGCTTGATATTAATCTTCTAATCCCGATCTTTAGATAAAGGGAATATATGGCAAGATTCATGTTTTTTATTTATATTATTATTATATTAATGTTATTATTTTGTTACAATTTTTATCATTATTATTATTGTTTTTGTTGTTGTGTACAGTTGTTTTGATTGTTATTTTATAATTAATTTGTATTTCTTTATGATATCATTATTATTATAGGTTGACTGTTACAATTTGCTACCATCATCGTTATTCGTGCTATTGTGGAATCTGTGATGTACAATTTATGTAATTTACAAGGCTAAAGAGCCAATCACATTTAATTATATTTTAAATATTTAACTAATTATTGTTTTCTGTTAGCATTCTGTGATAAAAAAAAAATTGTCGGGTCAACATGACTATACATTAATTGAATATTGAATGGATAAGGTGGTAGACTGTGTTGATGGCTGTCAGTTCGTTGATCGTTTTACCGACTGACAACTTACCAATAGTATGAATGGGTATCTGGTGGGGTTGCTTGCTCATACGCTGATTATATCAGCAAGGTGTGGAGTCAATGACCTGGGAAAAGTGCTTCATAATTATATGCGGTATATAAATAAACAAAACTATTATTTTGCAAACATGTCGTTTTGCTGAAGGATATTTGATCATTAAATTTACGACGATAAATTCACTGATAATGTTCTTTCACCGACAGACTAATTTAAGCAGAACGTTTCGCCATCTTTCAAAGTGATCGGCGGAACCCGGGAATTTGGAAAATTTGTACTTACAACTTGGACGAAAATTTTGTAAAAAAAAAAAAAAAAAATCACAAACCATATTTAGGTAGGTAAGAGGCATGACATTTGCAGTGTATTGACATACAACAATGATAACGGTGGCTATCCGGGAGTGTAAACCGGGGTACTGAATCGGAAAACATTAGTAGTACAAGTCACAATTGGCTGGAGTCGTTACCGGTATGTTGGTGCATTTATACCTCCATGGTTGGTGGAACGATTTCAATTAAAGTGGTTTAGTAATATAAAGAAAGTTCAGTTTAACTCTTTAAAGAAATTTATTATGTATGTATAATGTACAAAACATTTCTGTTTTATCAAATGAAACGCAGCTAATACAACACTAACTGAAAAACTAATAATTTATTTAAGTAATTTTATAAAATTTAATTCTTCAAAAATCGTATTATTTATGTAACATAATATGCCTAGTTTACCAAATCAAACACTCCTGAAGCTTGTATTTGGCATTGTTATTGAGTGTTTTATTGATTCTTTTTGTTTACGTAATGTTTAAGTTATTCAGATGCCTATTGTACCGTATCTGTTAACATTTTCCATACCTGAATGATTGTACTTTTGTACTCCGTATAGAACTAAAAATTGTCATTGTCATTGTTAATACAACATTAACTGAAAAATATACCCTTCAGATTCTGAAACCAAGAGATTAATTTCAATTAAACTTTACACACGCACGTATACATATGGAGAGGAAGCTCAGTGTTTTTGTTTTCGATTTTCTTTCATATTATGCCCCACAAAAAAAAATCAGACCGAGTTATGACGTCAAAACTACTGCCACTTACGACCGCTACTCCTATTCTACGCCTAGTGTCCTCCGGTGGACGTAAGCAAATAAATCTTTTTTGTCTTAAAATATTTTTTAATAGATTTATTTCATAATTTATGTTATATTTAATGTAATTACTGAATGTGACGTGTAGTTTGTATATGTTGGAACTGAAAACAATAAACTTAGCTGGAATGGTTTCCGTAGTTTTTAATAATGAGGCCTTCAACGTTTTGTACGAGTATAATTTATAGTTGGCTGATGTCAAATGTAAAAAATCGACAAGAACAAAGCTGTGACACGGAGAGAATTAATTTCCATTAACTCCCAAATATACAGGTCTAGTATTATTTTTTAATATCTGACGCTTTTTAGTCCAAAAGAAATATGTTCAAGAAAGGCACAGCACACATCTTGACACTAGTATCATCAATATCAAACACTATGGAATAAGTTACTTCAGAGCAGCTTAGACTTTACGGGGTGCACATTATCATCTCAAACCCATCAACCCTGAATTTACCTTTCATGTGAGAACTTTGAACTTTATTGGAACACTTTTGTATCAGTGGCACACACCATCTGGTGGTGCATCCAAATAACAAACAACATTTCACAAAATACAAAGAAAAGATACATTGAAAAAAATTTAAAATGATAGAAAAGTAAACATTAATGAGTACAATGGAAGGAATGTCCTATGACCAAGAGATGGGCTGCCCAACTCGACAAGGCGGATAATGATAATAATAATAATAATAATGAAGATAACTGATATACAATTAATTACTCCATACGCACGCTAATCGACTTAAAAGATTTAGTAAGCTTAACTTTTCCAAGAAGCCATATTTTAATACTCTAATACAAGGTTTAATCATGGTTTAATTTATATTATCCATTAAATAATGTTGCACTATAAGGTCAATGACGTTATAGGTGGATTTAATTTAAGCAGTTTTGGTGCAACATGATCACTCATAATCGACAATAATGATAATGACCGCCTTAGTAGGCCTAGGCCTACCCCTCTTACAGTTATATTAAATCAATTCACGTTTGGTACACAGCTAGAAATGACAAGCCATAGATAGCAACCAGATTCAGGATTAACTCCCGGTCCACCTCCCCTAAATTTACCTTTGTAACCCACCTTCTATTTTGGATAGTGGCGAAGAAAACTGACGAACGCTCTCTGAAATTGGTTGCAACATGTCAAATAAATGTTATGGTATAAAAATTTTATTCTGATATTAATGTAAATACATTGTATTTTGTTGTTACAATGTTGGTTACCTAAATGATTGTGTTTTACTGATTTTTCGTGTATTATTTTTTTACTTGGACAGCATGCATAGTTTGCGAACTGTCAGATAAGATATGAGTGATTTCCAGGCTTGAGTTGATCTTTTGTAATTGTGAGTTACCGAAACATGGCGGCCTGCATTGAAAACTTCTTCAGATATTCAATTAATGAGGATATGTTAATAATTAAGTTTGTAGAAACTTTTAATTCGTAAAGGCAAAAGTAAATGTGCATTACTGTCGCCTTTAATTAATTCATTTTACAAACATTGGTCTATAATATTGAATGTGGTATTTGTGGTGATTGCAAATTGAAATTTCAAAGCTAAGTAACTTTTAATTAAAAATACCTCGTATCCGGGGATTATGCTTTTTTCTCCAAAATTACCAACACCATTTGGTAATACACTCTCTCCGAAATCCATATTGGTCCCTTGCATTAGTGTAAACTTAATTTTCCCTAATGATTGACCATTTTCTTTAAAGTTCACATACGTCCTCAGTCGACCTGTCGTTCGTCAGGATTGGTCTGTGAGTAGGGATGGGTTGGAGCATTCGGTATCTTGACCTTTTTTAAAAATTTCCTCTCCGTATTGATCATCTAGTTTATTCTGAGTTTTAATTAAGAGAGTAGCCCTATTTTTTCTTCTATATTTATAACTTTCATCGATTGTACAAATGAAATAGTTGCAATATTGTAATAAATCCTTCATGTTTTCTAATTAAAAATTTCTTGTATATTTATTTGAATATAATGGCGATAATCGGAAGGAGCTTCCAGTTGAAGCACTCTGTTTATAGAAATCGAAATCCACTTATAAGAAATTGTGTTGTTTCAACACGCGACGAGGACAATTGGCCTATTTGATTCATTTTGGTTTGTTTAGAAAGTAGTTTGGTCTGCTGGAATATCCTGGATCAACTACTGGATATATATTATTTGTTGTCATTGTCATTAAGTTATGTAAGTATTCTTATTCCAAATTTCCCGTGAACCGTGAAGAATCTTTTATAATGGATTATATAGCCACGTCTACAATACCGCTCAACAAACCAAGGACGATTAACTGTCCTACCAAAGAACTGGTACAAGATACAGTGAAAATTCTCTAAGGAAACTGCTAACTGCTAACAATTCGACGTCCATACCGTGTCTAATTAAAAATTTCTTGTATATTTATTTGAATATAATGGCGATAATCGGAAGGAGCTTCCAGTTGAAGCACTCTGTTTATAGAAATCGAAATCCACTTATAAGAAATTGTGTTGTTTCAACACGCGACGAGGACAATTGGCCTATTTGATTGATTTTGGTTTGTTTAGAAAGTAGTTTGGTCTGCTGGAATATCCTGGATCAACTACTGGATATATATTATTTGTTGTCATTGTCATTAAGTTATGTACGGTAAGTATTCTTATTCCAAATTTCCCGTGAACCGTGAAGAATCTTTTATAATGGATTATATAGCCAAGTCTACAATACCGCTCAACAAACCAAGGACGATTAACTGTCCTACCAAAGAACTGGTACAAGATACAGTGAAAATTCTCTAAGGAAACTGCTAACTGCTAACAATTCGACGTCCATACCGTGTCTGCGTGTGTTTAAGAGTAGGCCTAGATTTTAATCAAGAAATTTAAGTTAAGACTGACTCTGAAAAATACCTGAAACTGTACGATTAACTGGTTTTGAAGTCATATCTGATGACAGTGTATATTACACTCTCACTTCAGGTATGTAATGCATAGCCATGATGGGTGTTGTCATATTGCTATAAAAGGTAAGATATTTTTTAGTTGTTAAGTTGTTTGTTGTTACAGCACTGCTAAATGCCCTGGTGTGTTGTTGACATCTATAGGCCTACGTTGCATATTCATTTATGTGGAACTACATTTCTTTTCTTGTATTTCCTTTTGTACATCAACAGTGGCAATAAAACATTTATAAGACTAAATTTCGGGGTCCATAAAATCGTTACACCTATCGACGACTCCTCAGTTGGGGGAGGGGGGTCTTCCCGATTCTCAGCAGACGCCGATAGGGTGAGCAATTCTATGGAAATCGAGCTTCAAGACGAGCACTCACTGCGCCCGATCGACGATCGTCCGCCGACGCGATTCTAACGCAACGCCATGACACGCGGGCAAAACATCGTTTTTAATGACGATCAGCTCAGACTGCTCCGACAATCAGCAGACGACGTCTCGTCGGTTAAGCTTGGTTTCCATACAATCGCTGCACGCTGTCGGTGATACTGATTGGACTGTTGAATCTAAACTAATTCTTCCATGGTTGAATTGGGGAGCCTTCCCGATTGCGTCGGGGACTGCTACGCAGTACAACGATTGCACTGATTGAAAAGACTGTAGCGACAGGGCAGCGATTTTAAGGGAAACAGGCTTTAGCATTCACAGGGAGCGGAGTTGTTCATCGTATGACGCAGTGAGTGTCCAGCTTTACGCTGTAACCACAGCGCAGCGATATTATTTAAACCAGGCTTATTATTATAGGCCTATCACAGGTAATGCATAATGCTATGCCTTATCATGTTTTTGATACTGTGGCCTTTAAGTACTTCTCAAAAATAACGTTACGAAAATCAATAAATTCTTATATGAAATAGAATATAGTTGTCATTAAATACCACGTGCTAATGTTTGAATGGTTTTGTTGTGAAGGTAGGCCTACAAAGAAGTTGAAGATAAACTATGCGCATGATGGAAATGGATTCTGATGGATATAGGAACTGTTCTGTTACGCCCGTGGACGTAACGGAATCGGATGTATTCGGGAGCAGTACAGTTTTAGTTTTGTTTTCAATTTACTTTTCCTTGATATGCATATGCTCAATTGTGGAAAATGTAATCATCTTGTTGACAATAATTCGAGTAAAACGATTGCACAAACGTCGGAATATCCTCATCTTCAACTTAGCTGTGACTGATTTATTGGCTGGAATAGTTTACCCCTCATTTCTTAACGGAACCCACATGGAAGGTATGGCACTGACAATCGGTATTGTATCCGTCTTTACCATCCTCGCAATCGCCACTGAACGCTTTTTGAAGATTGTTGTATTTACAAAGAGTAGCAACGCGCACATTTGTACCACTCGTCAACTTGTGGGAGCGTCAATTACTGCGTGGGTGATAGTGTCTGTTATTCTGTTACCGATTTCTTACATCGACAATGATCTACACCGTGTTATTTTCTTTACACTCGGACCACTGTGTGTTGTCGTAGTGATGATTGGAATATCTGTCTTCTACCTTGCCATATTTCTAAAAATAAGATACCACGACAAACGAGTGTCTGCTAATTTAAATCGAGCAGAAAAATACACCAACACTAAAGTTGTTCTAAAGGCGTATGTTGTTATTGTCATAGTTTACGCAATTTGCTGGTTACCATGGGCGGCAGAATCACTTCGAATTATGTTTACAATGTATTATGGTGTTAGAATGGAGAATCGTTGCATTGTGTCAACATCGGTTTCCTATGTCGGTGTTGCTATGATATTACTGAATTCCGCAATAAATCCGATTATATATTGGCTTAGGCTACCTGATTTTCGACATGGAACTTCGGAACTATTTCGTTGTTGTAGAAAAGAAAATATCTGCTGTTTTAAAGGAACACCTGTCGTTGAGAATTCTAGTCCGAATTTAGCTAATGGCATCCGCAGCAGTACGACTGATGTTAGGCCTATAGATAGGCCTAATGTATACTTATCCCATTTAAATGAACAAACGTGTACCACTGTTTTTTAAATCGTTTTGTAAATTTGTTTTGGAATAGCAATCAATAATGAATTGGTTAAACATATTTAATGGAAACATGGTAATATAGGCATGTGAATATTTGGCGCATAATTGAATGTCCTATGTGATAATATAATTATGCTTTGTTTTTAATAAGATATGATATGATAT